AGCATCAATCAAGACGCCTAGCAAGAGAATTACAAAGGGGGGAGACAAGCTAGAACAAACTAACGGGGGACCGACATGCCCCTATTCCCCCTGCTACCCCAGGGCCGTTAACCAAGTATCGACATGGCCCCGGGCATTTGCTTTCAGGCGCCCACGCCACAGGAGAGCGTCTTCCCGGCAGCACCCCAGTAACCGGGCGAGAGAGGGTCGCTGTCTCTGAAACACAACCGCATTTCTATGTTTCCATAAGTGCCAACAACAGAGCATGGCGAAATTTCAGGCAGAGCTGACGACCGAGCTCGCCAAAGAAGCTAGCCGATCCAGGCAGTCAACCGTCACGCCATTGATACTGATGCCAACATGTCTCCAGAAAGCCGCCGCGAACGGGCAGGAGAAGACCAGATGGTCCGCGCTCTCCGGCGCCCTTTCACAGATTGGGCATCCGGCCCCATCCACCTCCACAATGTGCTTCCTCAGCAGCACGTCTCTAGTGTGAATGCGTTACTGTACCATCAGCCAATAGAAGAATTTGACTCTGGACGGCGCTCGTGCATCCCAGATGAACTGAGCCCACAGCGAGGCCCTCCCACCGAACCTCAGCAGTCGGTACGTTTTGGCAGATGACAGGCGCCCGCATGGGCCGGTGATGTGGAGGAGAGACCGCTCGTCCTCCCCTCCCTGGACTGGCATGGTTAAAATCAGGGCTGAGACCACATCCAGTTCCTGTTCTCCGACCCGTGTGAGGCGCGGGATAAGGTGTCGGCGGAGCCCATCGGCTCGCACCTGCCAGACCGTCACTTCAGCCGAAACGGAGTGCGAGAAGAGCGCAGGGAACACTGCCGCAAGAGGACCGCAAGGCAGCCAGCGGTCGATCCAGAAGGAGACAGTGCGGCCATCTTTTACGTCCACCGCTGAGAGCGCGCGGTACAGGGGGATTAGCCTGGCCAGAACCACGCCCTGCTCTCCTATTGCACGGCCACCATTCCCAAGTAGCGATCGCCTTTTCGCCTCCGCCCAGACCCAAGCAGCCCATCTCGAACGTTGAGCAACATGGAGCCTATGAACCATTTTCAGCAAGAGACATTCATTTTGGGCCGCAAGGCTGTGAACCCCCAGACCTCCTTCACTTTTCGCGCGGCAAACCCGATCCCAGGCAACCAAGCATTGTGCTCCCGAAGCTCTCTCGGCAACATTCCACAGAAAGGCCCTTCGCATGGCATCCATCTCTCTGATCAAAGCAGGGGGGAGGAGCAGAGCCGCCATGGCATAGGTTGGCAAGGCGTCAAGAACCGCGTTGATAAGAACCAAACGCGCATCAGGTGAGAGGAGGCGTGCCGCCCAGCCAGCTAGATATTTGTCGACTTTGGCGAGCATCGGCAGAAAATCCGTGAACTTTAATTTTTCCCAAGACAGCGGCAGACCGAGATATGTTTGCGGGAAGGCCCCAACCGCGCAGCCCAGCGCCTGAACGACCACATCCTAGGTCTCCTGATCAACATGAACTGGGACGAGCATGCTTTTGGCAAAGTTGATCCGCAACCCTGTCGCCTCTGCAAACATATCCAGGATCTGACGGGGACGAACTGCGCCCTCCTCGCAGGCCCTCATGATAATCAATGTGTCATCGGCATATTGAAGCACAACAGCCGGGGAGTCGGGCACCAGCGGATGCCGCATCACTCCATCCTGACGGATCAGCTGCTGCAGCACATCGGCAACGATCAGGAAGAGGTAAGGTGAGATCGGGTCCCCCTGGCGGAGACCACACTTCATTTCGAACCATCTCCCAGGCACCCCATTCAGCAAGACAGCCGAGCAGGATGAACGGAGGATCTCGTCAATCCAGTCACACCATGCAGTCGAAAAGCCTCGAGCCTCCATGACGGAACGGAGACTCTCCGAGTTAACTGAATCAAATGCCTTGGAAAAGTCCAGCTTCAACACAACCGCAGGCGCTTTTCTTCTGTGGCAGCATTGGACTAATTCTGTGGCATAGACAAAATTTTCAGAGATACTCCTCCCTTTCATGAATCCTGATTGGTCTTCATCTATCAGAGTCATAATTTGCTTTTGAAGCCTGGTTGTCAGCCCTCTGCATAAGATCTTGACATCTCTGTTTTACAGGGAGACATGCCTAATTTTGTAAAAATTGAGAGCTTCCTCACCTTTTGCCATTCCTGCCTTGTTTGGAAAAATCTTCAGTCAAGCAAGCAAGCAAGCAAGAGTATCATACTGTGTGTTCTCTCTTTTTATATACTTATTATGCAATATTTTCTTGCAGGATATTGAAAATTAACCAAGATGCCGAGTAGATTGCTAAATTTGGTCAACCAGCCTGGCAGCAGATACAAAGAATATGACTTCAGTGTAAGTAATCGTACAAATCTTCTGATTCTATTGTTTGCTTGTCATCCTGTTATCTGTACCGTAAACTGTTTATGATTTTTCTGGGGATGAGGGCAACTGTGCAATCCATATTATTTCTCCTACAGCAGTGAAATCCAGAACTAAAGAATTTGGTACTTTTAAAACAGCTCAAAAGCTATTTATAATTATAAACCAAAGAATGCATCAGGGAATGGGATTCTTCTCAATTGCTTTAATTTTCTGAGGGAGCTCACATTCTTTTCTTTTCATAGGGAAAAAGACTTGAGATTCTTTTCTTGACCCTTGCCTGCTGGTAAAGCTAAAGCTAACGTGTGCTGTGCTGCACGCATTATCACAACTAAGCAAGGTAGATGATCCCTTTCCATCTCGGTAGAGCATGTGGTTATACATTTGACCATTCATGAGTTGGTAACTGCTTCATTTCTGGCACTTGGTTGTGTTCACATCTCCTCCAATTGGCATCCAACTGAGAGAGATAAGGTACGGTGAAGACGACAACATGGCTCATGTAGCCGGTTTGCTTGCCTCGGCTGTGGTCTCAGCAGTGGGCAATAAGCTGGGTTCCGCCATTGGGGATGAGGTCACGATGCTGTGCAGTTTCAAGGACGACCTCAAGGACATGAAGGACACGTTGCAGTACATGGAGGCGGCGCTCAAGGATGCTGAGAGGCGGTCTGTCACGGAGGAGTTGGTGCGGCTGTGGCTCAACCGGCTCAAGAACGCTGCCTATGAAATCTCTTACATGCTCGATGAGTTGCAAGCTGACAGTGAACCAGCCTCCAGAAAGGTATACATACGCCGTCCATGCCTTATCTTGATCTGTTTTTCGGTAATTAATTTTCCTAGCTACTACAGAGTTTGTTGCTTTGGCTAAATAATTTGATTATTAATTATATTATTGTCCACAAAACCATGCTTGATCAGTGGTCCAGGATTAGTGAAATTACGGTGTTGGGGAGGGCCAGTTAGAGAAATCTGTTGTTCATGTGTTCATTAGGAACAAATCTGTGGTATTAGGGAGGAGAGGGGGCACGGCCCCTTCTGGCCCCTGGCTCCGCCACTGTGCTTGATCATCTGAACGTACTTTCCAATGTAAGCAACTGGTGCACTAGTTAATTGCAACGTTTAAAGCTTGAAATTTGTTTGTGCCCTTCTAAAATTTAAAGCCATGGGTGTACAAGAGGCTTTTAGCCTACTTAAATCTGGTGTACAAATCCTGGCCCTGAAACTAGGTACTCCCTCCGTTCCTAAATATAAGTCTTTTTAGAGATTCCACTACAAACTACATACGGATGTATATAGACATATTTTAAGTGTAAATTTACTCTTTTTGCTCCGTACGTAGTGCATAGTGGAATTTCTAAAAAGACTTATATTTAGGAATGGAGGAAGTATATAAGAATAAAAAAAAGTACTACAAGGGAAGCTATGTTTTACATCCGTCCAAAAGTTTTACGTTAAATTCTAACTGTGTTGGGCTTTATATATCTACCATGCAGCATGTAGTTACCGGGTAGAGGGGTCGAAAATACTACATCTTATTAAAGCCGGGTGTAATGCTCCCAGGTTTTATATTATATCATAATCACTTGTTGAAATTCCTTATAGATGATTGGGAAGCTAGACTGTTTTGCTATTGCACCCAAGATTACCATGGCTTATAAGATGAAGAAGATGAGAGGTCAGCTGAGGAAGATCAAAGAGGATCACGAGAGTTTCAAATTCATACATGATAACTCCAGTCTAATTAGTGTGCACCAGTTTCCTGATCCACGGGAAACAACATCAGATGTGATTGAATCACTCATCATAGGGAGAGACAAAGACAGGGTGAATGTTCTTTCTTTGTTATCCACAAGCAGCAACAAAGAAGATATCACAATTCTTCCTGTTTGTGGGCTTGGAGGCATAGGAAAGACAACATTGGCACAACTGGTCTTCAATGATGCTCAGTTCAAAGAGTATGACCATCGGGTATGGGTCTATGTATCCCAGGTGTTTGACATGAAAAAAATAGGGAACTCCATAATTTCTCAAGTAGAAAAATGAAGCCAGAATCTAGATACAAGGCAGTTGATAAACCAACATCTTAAACATCTACTTCAAGATAAGAAGACTCTAATTGTTTTGGATGACCTATGGGAGACAGATAACTTCCAACTGGATCAGCTCAAGCTTATGTTGAATGTAAGCTCCAATATGAGAGTCTTGGTCACAACACGCAGCATAGATATTGCAAAAAAAATCTGTACTGTTGAACCATACAAGCTAGATCCCTTGGACAACGACATGTGCTGGAGAATAATCAAGCAAAACAGTGGCTTTGAATCTAGAGCTGATAAAGGTCAAGCTGAACCAGTTGGACAAAAGATTGCAACGAAATGTGGTGGTTTGCCACTAGCAGCTCAAGCACTTGGATTCTTGCTGTCTGGAATGGATCTTAGTGACTGGGAAGCAACGTGCAATAGTGATATTTGGGATGAACCATTTTCTGATTGTACAGTGTTACCATCCTTGAAGTTAAGCTACAATACTTTGACACCATATCGGAGGTTATGCTTTGCCTATTGTGGCATCTTCCATAAAGGTCACAATATAAGTAAAGATGACCTTATCTATCAATGGATCGCTCTTGGTTTCATCGAGCCGTCTAATACCTTTTCAGCCATGCAACTTGGTGAGAAGTATGTTAGGCAATTCCTGGGGATGTCTTTCCTTCAGTATTCAAAATTGGGCGAGGACGAGGTGAGTTACATACTTGTTCATTACAGAATAAAGAGTATTCTTTTTTACTCAACTGTTATTTATGTTGACAGTTTGGTAGATTAATTCATGCATATGTTTTGCCCTTTGTGGCAAATAAAGCACTCAAGATATTGGTGCATCAGATTAGACTCCACACTCTTTCTTCTAAAAATTGTCGAGTGTTTTTTTAGAACGAAGACGCCAGATGCGTCCGGTTTTAAATTAATATAGCCCACAACAGACAGCGTACCACCACAACAACAAGTCTTAATACATCATCAAAAGCCGTCCCGGCCTACATGGAAGGATCACCACAGAAGTTCAAGCGCGACTTAACTTAACAAACCCCTGGCAGATTACAGGGCAGAGCCCGTAGAGAGCGCGCATGCTCGTCAAGCACCAAAAGGGACCATAGTCGGAACCATGGTCAAGGCTCCCTAGCCATCACGTACACTTGCATCAGCCGTTGTTGGGCGGTCTTGATCAGCTCAGCATTCTTGCGCCTCCCCAACGGACTCCACTGCTGCAAGAGAAGGTTGCATTTGAAGATAATGTTAGCCGGATGCGTTGGAAAGCAACCCTCCATAGTGAGTTTGTTCCTAGTTAACCACATAGCCCAGAGTAGTGCCCCTACACAACTCCACATAACCCGTTTAGCCCGACCATGAATCGCATCTAGCAGGTGGGTAAGCTCCCCAGCCGATCGGGGGTCCCACTGGACACCTGCCGCTGTCCAGACCGCGCTCCATGCAAACCTTGCAAGCGGGCAAATGAAGAACACATGGTTGGCGTCCTCTGGAGCCCCGCACAGCGCACACAGGCCATCAGCCGGTCCGTTGCGTTTGGCCACATTTAAGGAGGTGGGCAGCTTGTCGCGGAACATTTGCCACAAGAAGAGTTTGATCTTCAGGGGTAGCCGCACTTTCCACAACCCTACAATCGCCTGATGCACCGTCCCTCGACATAGCTTGCGATATAAGGAATTAACCGCAAACTTCCCGGAGCTGGTGAGCGCCTAGCTCACCGTGTCCGATTCGTCCACAAGGTTGGTTGGTTCAATGAGCTGCAACAAAGCCGCGAGACTAGCCTGCTCCTGCCCATTGAGTTCCCGTTTAAAGTAAATTGCAGGTGGTGTCGACACGAGTGCTTCTGCCACCGTAATTGCTGGGTCCACAGCTACCTCGTACAAGTCCCGGAATTCAGCCCATAGAGGTTGGGCCCCTATCCACAGATCAGTCCAGAAGCGGGCCGAGCGACCATTCCCAATGGTAAATTTTGCCCCCATGGCAAATGCCGGTTTGACCGCCTGCAAATCATTCCAGAAGGGGGAGCCCCTTGTCCTCCCTTCAAAGAAATTCCCATCGGGAAAATATTTGTCTTTTAGGAGATCAACCCACAGCCCAGTAGCTCCTTGGGCAATTTTCCATATCCATTTACACATCAACGTGATGTTTAAAAGTCTGGAGTTGGTGATCCCAAGGCCCTCCAAGGCCTTGGGTCGGCACACCCAGGCCCATTTAACCATATGATACTTACGGTTCGGACCGGTTCCTTCCCAAAAGAACTTGGCGCGGGGCGTGTCGAACTTTGCATGGACCCCTTCTGCAAGCAGAAACAAGCCCATAGCAAACATTGGCAAGGAGGAGAGGCTGGAATTCGCAAGAATGAGCCTAGCCGCCTTAGAAAGGAATTCCCCCCGTCTGGGGGAAACCCTCCCCCTCACCTTGACGCATAGAGGATCCCAATCCTCTACCGTGGACCGTTTGGTATCTATCGGTAAGCTGAGGTACGTAAACGGGAATTTGACGACTTTGCAGTTAAACAGATCTGCTATGCACCTTCCCTCCTCCAGCTCAACCCCCATCGAAAGAACCTCACATTTGTGAAAGTTAATTTTGAGGCCCGACATGAGCTCAAAACTAAGGAGAATCACCTTGACCGCAACTATACTATGCAAATCCGGGCGAAACATCAAAAGCGTGTCATCCGCATATTGTAGATGCGTCACTCCCCCCTGGAATGAGGTGGCCTACCAGACCTTGGATATGGCCAGCTGCAACCGCTTTCGACAGCATCGCGGACAGCGCATCAACGACGAAGTTAAACAACAGAGGTGACATCGGGTCACCCTGCCTGAGTCCGCGCTTGTTCCTGAAGAAATGCCCTATTTCTCCGTTCACCGAAACTGCCGTTTGGCCTCCCGAGACCAGTTGCATAACGCGATGAACCCACACCGCGGAGAAACCCCGACCCAAGAGCACCTGACGCAGGAAATCCCAATTTACCGGCCATAAGCCTTCTCGAAGTCTAGTTTCAGCAGGACAGCCGGTTCCTTCATGCGTTTGAGCTCGTGCACAATCTCCTAGAGAGCCAGCGGGCCCTCGAGGATATTGTGCCCACTTATAAAAGCGGATTGATTACAATGGATCAAGCGCTGGGCTATCGGGCCTAACCGTGTGGCGCACGCTTTAGCGCAAATCTTAAAAGGGAATTGATGAGCGCAATAGGACGGAACTGTCTAATGTTATCGACCCCTTGAACCTTCGGAATGAGCGATAAAAATCCAAAATCAAGGCGGGTTATATCTACCGTCCCTCGCATAAAGCAACTATAGATCTCATACATAGGACCTCTAAGGATGGGCCAAAACTGCTAGAACATCACCACAGGCCACCCGTCCGGGCCCGGCGCTGTGTCCGCTTTCATCCCCACTAAGGCGGCGTCAATTTCTTCGGGTAGAAAGGCCAGCCCCAGCTCGTCATTCTCACACTCCAGGACGCGTTGTGAGCCCTCCCACACATCCGCACGGAGGCCAACTCCCTGTGCCTCGCAAGATCCCATCAAGTTGATGTAAAACTCATAAATATGTCGAGATATGTCCTCTTGCCGCAACAGAAGCCCCTGCTCCAATTGCAACCTGATAATAGCGCATTTACGACGACGACTGTTAGCGTAGGCGTGGAAGTATTTGGTGTTGGCATCACCCTTAAGGGTCCACTTGAGCCCACTACGACGGCGCCAATACTCTTCCTTCGCGCGGAGTAGCGCCTCGACCTGCCCCTCAAGAGCATATCGATGGGCCCACTCCTGCTCCGAGAACACACGGGCATCAGCCTGCGCATCGATCTTGGCAATATCCTCCAGGATTGCTGCTCTGTGCTCTTTGTCATTCCTCCCTATGTTGGCTCCCCACCCCTTGAGGCTAGCCCTGAGTCGACCCCCGACCGCGTTCCAAAATTCAATCGGACCCCTCTGGTGCCCAACCTGATGAACGCACATCTCTTTGAATATATCCTCGAAGCCTGGCACTTCAAACCAGGCCGTTTCAAAGAAAAACCGCGGGCTACGTTGCAACCTATCCTCCCCCGAGGAATAAACTAGCGGGACATGGTCAGAGCCAATGCAGGTCTCTGCGACCAGCGTGCATAAAAGGGTAGCCAATTTCCCATTCCGGGGACATAAACACCCTGTCCAGCATCGAGCGGACCGGGTCGAGTTGTTTATTGGTCCATGTGAACCACACACCCGTCCTAGCCACTTCCCTTAGGGCCATGGAGGCAATAGCAGTGTTGAACATGGACACACACAGCCATTTTATGTTACTATTGTTTTTGTCAGCTCCCGACCTGATCAGATTAACCCCCCCCCCCACGAGGACCAGGAGCGCCGCGACAGACACCGTAGTAACTTTCTGTTGAACTTCTCCCAAGAACTCCGCCGATCGCGAGTGATCAGCTGGTCCGTAGACCTGAATGACGACTAGCTCGCGCATCGAAGCACGAATGCGAAAATGCACAGCAATGAAGAAAGTACCAACATCCCATGCGATAATTTAGTAGACGGTACGGCTTAAACCCAACAACATGCCACCCGAGTGCCCAACCGTGGGTACAAACTACCATTCGAAGTGTTCCAATGGGTCTATAGCAAGCAATTCGTGAAAACAGAAGTCTATCTTAATCGTTTCCTGAAGACCTACGATATCCATGTACTCTTTGCGCATGTACTTTTTAAGTTGGGTACGACGCCCCGCGTGGCCGAAACCACGGATATTCCAAAATAAGGCTCGCATCTAAATGACACGATTGCGCAGCCGGACACCCCTCGAGGTGACTACTTTTGCCACACGCCTCACCTTGCTCCTGCAAGGCGAGGGAGAGGTGGCAACCCCCGTTGCTTGACCCCCCCTCATCGGGCATAGAAATAGCACTAGCAGCCCCTCTCTCGGGTCCTCGGGTCCTCTGGTTAGCACGCGCTGCAGCCGCAGCCGCAAGCGCTGCCTGCGCCGCCTCCTTTTGGCACGC